AATATTCTACCCTAGTGTAGGCTGATTTAAATTGCTTATCCAAGTTGTTCTCCCCAGGTGCACTCTTTCTTCTTTTGTTTTATTAGTAAGTAATAACTGTACGGAGGATAGGGTGTGGTAATTCAATTTTGTACAAGCTATGTACTAATCAATTCAGGGTAATTAATATTATGCTTTTCATTTGGTGCTTTCAAACTTCCCTCTTCTGGTTATTCATAAAAATTCTTAACAGACTATGGTGAACTCTAATATGTTATTCTTTCAAAACAGAAAATGACATTAAAGGAAATGACAGTGTATACCAGGCCAGAAATTTGGAGGTTTGTTCCTCAGGAACCCACACTGTCTGAAAAGATAAAGATCTGGCTTATCTTTATCATATCTGGCTCTCTTGTTCTATCCGAAAGGGCACCAGGCAAGATCTGAGCCTGGGTGTAAGGGCTCAGCGGATGAAATAAATGACAGCCCAGGGAAACGAGCTCCTCCACTGCTGCTTGGTCAAATCAGAAAGGAAATTAGTCTAGATGCTAATGATGCTGTGCTCAGCATGCCACACAGCACATGGTCAACCCTCACTGAGATGAGAGAAAGGCAAGGGCTATTAACAATTTTCAAACCAAACTGGGGAAACCGCAACCCAGAAAGTTAGCCACACAACTGATAATAAATACTCTCCTAAGTCATTCAATTTTCTAGGTTAATTTTTAAATCATTACTGAAACTAAGAAAAGGCATTTTTATCTAGGTAGAATTACCTAAATTATTTCTCAAGATTTTCCCAATTAGTACATCTTTCTCTTTCCTTGTTTATCTTCATACACACCAAGCACGTGGGGGAAGAAATTTTTACTCATCCTTTTCTTTCTGTATAATATTCATGCTACACCAGAAGTTTGTTTGCTGTTCTTCACAAAACAGTTAAGATGCGATACATTTCAGCCCACAATTAGTATAAAAGAGTAAATTCCATTTTTTTTTAGTGCTCTTATCTTTTTGGCTCTTGCTGAACCACAATAGGAATAATAGCCAGTGGGGACACACTGGGACTAGGCTAAGTATTCCTATATTACTTCACAGATTTTCAATTCTTTTTCTTGCAATGAAATCTCACCCTCAAGGCCAATATTCAAAACAGACAAAGTGGAAGCTGCAAATCTTGTTGAGCCATTTTGACAATGGCTGCTTTATGTCATTCAATTCTCAAACAAAGCTTTGAGTTATTGACTATTATTATCTCAATTTTAAGTGAGCCTTGGAGAGCATTAGTAGCCCGCTCAAGGACATGAAGCAGTGACACAGAAGCCCAAACTGTGTATAATCCATGGACACATGTTTGCATAGCTCCAACAGATGTCTTTGCCCGACCACCCCGAGGGCAAAACACTACTTGAGCCCTGGAAAATAACACTGAACAAACAATCAAGAGTACCTTGTCCACAATAACCATACACCAGGATGTCTCCACTAGGATTCTCTTCTCTCTATAAATCAAACACTCTTTCCTGATACGACCAATGGTGCAATTCTACTTTCACAGAGAATCAGAGAATATCCTTATCTAAAAGATTCATTTCTATATATCTATATCAATATATCTATATATATATATAAACTTAAATTTATATATTAAAAAATATATCTGTTCCACACTATCCAACAATAGCCAATAATTGCTAAGAGTTTTACAAGCTTGACGTTCATATATATATATA